GATTTTGTTGTGGGTGCGGGTGGGTCTGGGTGAACCTTTTTTACGGGTGGCGGGTGGGTTGGGCGTGGGCGTAAAAATTCGAAAAAATACTTGGGTGGGTTGGATGAGCTTCAAACCTTTTTTTTCTTAGGGTGGCATGTACTAAGAAAATTTTGGGTGGGTTGGGTGAAGCGGCATTTAAAAGAAAAAATGCTCATCTCTGCTGTTCGAGAGAACGCTGGTACCAATCCTTTATATTACCAGCTACATAGCCTGTTCCCCCACTTTTCCCAAGTGGGGGATTTTTCCTTAATGAACTTCCACAGGCACTCGTTAAACATCTTCCCTGGATAGTTCTGCAGACGCAGATGTTGTTTCAGCGTAAGTAGCCCCAGTCCAGCCAAATCGTCATTCGAGTCATCTGCCGAATCCGATACAATGTGCTCATAATCATTGCTTTCTTCTGTCGTGCAGATGAATACGAGTCGAAGTCCTGCAGCATACGAAAAGTAAAATCTCCTTCCGCCCAGACAGACTCCATGTTCTTAGGAAACATCTGACAAGTCACTTTGTTATTCCGTATTTCAACCTTAGTCCCCAGAAATTCCCAGCTGCCCATACCATCATCCGTTCTCTTCAGAGTTCATTGTTCATCGTACGCACGGTCAAACCGACTCATGATCTCCTTCTTCCGTCGTTCCCCATTCCTCTCCGGACACCAAGTGAAAATACTCACATCATCCATCAATCTCACACCTCTGACCAAGTTCCGATCCTTCCCCAAACTTCTCAAAAAAATACATTCAGTCGTAGCACACAAGATGCATGCCAATGGGGGACTGCTGCTCTTCCCCATTGGTATGCCAACCTGTTGCTTGATCAACCTCCACCATTGCTCGGATTTCATCGAACCCAACTCTCATCCAAGTATCCAACCCATCCTTTTGTGCAAAGGATGATCCTTTTCCTCGTCTCTTCACCGTTACCATAGTTTTCCCTTTCGCCTGATACCATTCCAGTATCCATTCAACAGCAGCAATGATCGAGTCATGAGGGAGCTGACTAAACATCTCTTTGATGTCATAGGCAGCTCCTTCCAGTCTTCCCTTCCCCTTCCCCTCAACCCACTTGTCAACCTCCCTCATCCTATCCTTCAATAACCCGGTCGCTTTCAAATTGAAATGCATTGATTTAGGCAATAGGAAAAGCAAATGATTCAAAGCTCTCGCTGTTCGACTGCTCGCTGTTTTCGAGGGTTCAGGATACGACGGGCTTATAGGCCGGAATCGACAAATATCTTTGGATTTCGGGATTATATAAGCTCGTCCACATCGGCCCTTACTATCCCATCTCCCCAGCCGATCCAACCCAGCTTCCTTATAAGCTTTCTTACATCCTTCAAGCACCTCCGCCTCCGATTCCCAAACAGCTTCGAAACTCTCGTTCTTCCAGAACATCGTCTTCATACCCTTTGCATAAACTACCGGGCACATAATCCCGGTTTCTGCCGAATTCCGATCCATTGCCGAACATACCAGATCCTTCGTTAATGCCTTAACCTCGTTCAGTTCTCTGAAATAGTCCTTCCTCGGTCGTTTCTTATCTTCGTTCACGCAAATCCCAGCTTCGCGGATATCAACAACAGCATTCAATCCCATTTTTACAAAACTATCGTTAATTTCCTGCATCAATCTCCCAACCCTTCTCGTTCCATTCTCGCAAACGATATTACGAGCATTTCTGACAAAATCGCACAAATTCCTTAAGTCACTAAGCTTGCAGAGAACATGACCCTCCACTTTGGGAAGGCTACTATCTACACAAGTGCAGATTCCCACCGAATGTTGTGACGCAGTTCGGTGGTTATGGAGAAACTGACCGATCGAGCGGTTCTTACGCCAGGTAACGAGCAGTTTCTGACATGCAAACGAAGCCACCGACTCAGGCAATTGTGTTCAAATCTTTCCAACAACCAACTCCCGAATTGAATGCAAGGAAATCTCTCTATCATACGTTATACTAATAGAGAATTGTTTCCGTAGGTTAACACCAAACTTATTCCAGATAACACAAGACAGAATATCACGAAGCGTTGACCGTGTCTCGGGTCTCGAAAAGCATTTCACATCATGAAAGAGAGACATCAATTTGACAAGATCCAACTTATAAAGTCGCTTCTTACACCAAGGATTCCTGATGACCTGGTGTAACTGTCGTTTCAGATCAGAATTAGCCTTCGATGGAGCTTTCGATTTCAAATCGATGAGCTCAAAATCCCCTCCTTCCTCGAATCTTTTCCTGAAAACACCGATCCGGCCCACATCACTTCCTACACGTATCACACTCGTTCCAATCTCTCGATTAACGATCTTCCATTCCTGTGCCCAAATCTCACCTCCTTCTGAACTAAACTTCTTCCAGTCCTTCCATGCCATCCTACATACTTCAACTAATCTCACGCTTCGCGTCCCTTTACAGTTGAACACAATAAGCTTCTCTTTCCAGATCCGAGCAGATCTACTGACCTTCTGCTCCTTCCTCCCCTTTCGGTTCTTTTTACTCCTTCGCTTTCTTTTCCCTTTCAAATTCAAGGTTGGCGACCATTTCCCAATATACACTCGTTCCACCCTCTCCAGATCCTTCACCGGAACGAAAGCAATGGGTACCGCGATATAGTTCGAAAAAAAACAACGCCTAAACCAAGAGTACAGTCGAGAATTCCTAGTCCCTTCCCTATGATTAGTCTTATACGTATGTTCTTTCCACCTGGTCAATAGACTTCGAATAGTTTGACCAATATAAGTCTTCCTAGTGCCAGGGTCAATGAGCAGATAAACACAACCCTCGGCCCTCTCCCAAGTCGTAGCATCAACATCGATTAAGTCCAACCAGGTGCCCAGATACTTATTCCCCCATTGGATTTCTCCACGAAGAACTAACAAAACTAACAAATATCAAAGTACAAGCTCCGTTAACTCACGCAACCTCCGGACTCTTATCATCGGATCCGTCATAAATAGTCGTCGTAAGTCCAAGTACTTACCCAGATCTTGCCAGATCTCACTGGTCAGGCGGGTTGCTACTCCCAGGCAGGTCTTTGTCTGCCGGTGCATCCCTCGTAGATTCGCGTGGCGCCTCCCGAATGACCACTCCCGTACGTGGTCTGGCTGTCACCTCCCGAATAACAACCTCACCCCTCGCTCTAGGTGATGTACCTTGCGGAGCTGATGCGCTAAAGTACATAGCGCGCAATTCGGTCAGCTCATCCACAGCCTCTGGTCTCCCCCGATAAACAACTCCGGCTTCGTGACACATGGCCTCGATCGTCGCTTTCAATTTCTTCCCCAAAAATCTTCGGATCTCCTTCTTGAAAGCAATGACGGTATTAAAGTCATCCGCCACCGGTGCTCCTTCCCATAGGCTGGATTCCCTCAGCGGGAAACCTATTCCATCGTTCTGTCAATTCCGATGTGCAGGGACTCTAAGTCTTGGAGATTCTTCCCCCGCCCCCGCAGCCCAGGGTGTTACCGTAGCTCCTCTTCCGACCTTCGTTGGAGTCGCGCCTTGAGGGCTAACTTGGCACGCCTGTTGTGGCTGTCTTTTCCGTTTCTCCAATCTCTCCTCCGGGTCCTCCGGCTCTTCATCCGACTCCGATTCGGTCACTTTGGCTTTACCTTTGACCGCACGTTCTGACACAACCATTCTCCTTAGTCTTGCTTCAAACATTCTTTCGAACTCCTCCTTTAAGGACTCCTTCTGTTTGGCCAGTAACATCTCCAACTTCCATTCTCTATCGGCCTCCTTTTCTTCTTTGGCCTTTTTCTTTTGGAATTCCACTCGACTCTTCTCCTCCTTGGCTGCTTTCTCCTCATCCTCACGTTTCTTCTTTTCCTCGGCAACTTTCTTCTCGGCTTCCTTCTTCTCTTCCAACTCCAGCTGCTTGGTCGTATACTTACACATCTGTCGAATTCCCTCCTCCAATTCCTTGCTCAAACCAACCGCAACGGCAGCTTCATTGGAGCTGCTCGAAGTACTTGCTCCATCGTGCGGGGCTCGCCCACCGCCTTGATTCCCATGATTCCCTTGATAGGAATTACCTTGATTGCCTTGGTTATTGCCCTGCCGCGGGGCGTTACACTCCTGGCTGATGTGTCCATACCGATGGCAGTTATAGCACTTCGCCGATCTTCTCCAATACTTGCTGCTACTCCCTTGATTACCTCCGTTATTGTTCCACCCATTCCCACCGTTGCCGTTCCAACCTCCGTTCCCTCCGTTGCCTCCATTACCATTCCAGTTATTGCCTCCGTTACCCCCGTTCCAGCTATTCCCTCTATTATTCAAGTTCCATCCATTTCCGCCATTCCCTCCTCCGTTACTATTCCCATTCCAACCTCCTCCGCCTCCTCCGTTCCCGTTTTGCCCTCCTTGATTCCAGTTCCCTCCGTTCCCGCCGTTATTACCACCACCATTCTCCCCATTCCCCGGTCCATTCCATTGACCTCTACCGTTCCCATTGGATCCCATCACCAAATCTCGATCGTAACAAAACTCAACACGTAAGCTCGTGCCACGTGTCCCGTACAAACAGAATCTCCTCCGAAAGTCGTAACTTACTACAGGGCCACCGGAGTCTTGGTGTACACCTCCAAGTTGGTTGCCGCTGCCGGTTCGATGAAGAAGTAGCGAATCAGAGTGAGGTCTGATCCATCGCAATCACATAGCCAATCATGCGTGTCATGCACAATAGCGCAAATATGTGAACAATCTCGAAACTGGTCTTCCAAATCATAGACCGAAGACTTGTCGCAGCAAGGCTACGACTCCTCACCGCCACCCTCGCAGCAAGGCTACGACTCCTCACCGACTCCTCACCGCCACCCTCGCAGCAAGGCTACGACTCCTCACCGCCACCCTCACCGCAAAATCACCGCTAAACGCCGGAAGCAGGGGCCATGCTAATCTTCTTTGTATGGTTCCAATTTTAACTGGCCATGCTAATCTTCTCTGTATGGTTCCAATTTTAACAGATGTCCCAAAGGACATAGTTCCAATTCTAACGGATGTCCCCAAGGAC